TGAACTATATGTTGTCTATTAAGAGATTTTTTTTCTTTTTCCTAATAACTCCTCCATTTTTTTGGTATATAAGTTGCTTAACTTTAATTATATATAACTTATATTACATTTGGGCGGATAAAAGTAATGGACCGGGTACCCGACGGGTCAACAAAATTTTGTCGGGTACCCGTTGTATAGGGTAATCGTTTTTTGCGGATCGGATAAGAATATTGTTTTTCAAATACCCGTTAGGATTGGGTCGGGTAACGGATACTCTAAATTTTCTGAGTAACCGTGTTATGCCCAGCCCTAGTAATCCCCCGAGATTTTTTAACATTTTTCAATGAAACTTATAGCTTTACGTTGGTTAGATGCTTTAATTGAAACTTATTGTTATTGGTTCGGTTACTATATTGGATCATGCTAGTATGTAGAGTTTTGAACTTCTGATATTAGGGTATGGACCATTTTGTTGGAAAACTTCACAATTTTTCTTTTTGATTAACATTTTAGAATAGTTTATGCTCCTCTTTAATTTTCCTTCCAACTTACTCTAGCTACCAATTCATTTCGTACTAAACTCTATTAGTTTTTATTAGTTCCTGTTAATATAGTGCAATATGAATTGTAAAAAGTGACAACCGTTGGTTGTTGAACAAAGTGGGTCCGCGTGGAAGAAACAAACCAATGAAAATACGACAACCTTTGAGAGATGAGTAGATCCAACGGTCATAATATAACGGGCGTCAATCTTGGCGCGTTTTTTGGTCGCTAGTATCTTCCTTTAATTCTGAGACCCGTTACGTTATTATAATCACTAAAATGTTAAAAAAAAAAACCATTTGTTTTACTGATTCTAGAAAGATTACGTCAGTTCCATTGAGATTGCAGAAATACTTATGCCATTACTTAGTCGTGAATTTTGTATTTTTTTTTTGAAAAAAGTGTAAACACTAATTAACAGTTAGTGAATAAAATCATACTCTACTAGTATGAAATAACATTAAACGGTTTACATCATACGAGAGGTATAAAGAGCATTTGAACAAATCATTTGGTTTTTACATTTTTCCCTCTTAAAGACTCGATGATGTATAAATAGAGTCTACAACACAATGAAGACCGGCACAACTTTTAAAATAACACAAAAACAAAATGCCCAAATGGGGACAAGAACCAAACATGAACAATTATAACAACGCGTTTTTGACATTACTTCATTTTTAATTTATCCAATAAAGCGATGTATATGTTTAACTACACCCCTACCTTCTTCACGCGTTTTCTGCCATTCTCTTTACTTCTTTTATACTATAAAAATATATCGACTCTCCTTTTTGTTTTTAATTTTAACTAAACCAACCTCTCTCTAATTTTTT